GCATGGTTGTCACGCTGGTGGCATGCCACCCGGTTGAACCTGGTTCAACCTGTGCCGGTCATGAAACCGGCATGACACCACCGGTATGACCGTTATGATCGATGTACGCATTCAAAGTAAAGTGACATCATTTTAACGAGTTTAATGAATAAAAATTAATTTATTATTCATTTTATGAATGTAATAGTTAAAAGTTGATGATATTTGTTGGATTGTAACTAAATTGTCCACAAATATGTTTTATATATGATTAAATACATGAAATATTAATTGTTTTCACAGTTTTTTAAACCGGCATGAACCGGCACAAACTGGTTATACCACCGATCGTACCATTTCATTTGCTAAACCGGCACAACAGTATAAACCGGTTTGACAACCTCGTCAGATCGTCTACATTAGCCCCGCAGCCCATTATCTTGTGGGCAGGAATGGCAATGGGGCAGGTCCGGGGCGGGTATCTCGATACCCATACCCGCCCCATGGCAGGTCGGGTCCAGGTCGGGTAATTTATCACGGGGCGCGGGTCGGGGCAGGTCGACCCATTGGATATGTAATTTATGTGAAAAACATTAGAAATATTCGTTCTTTTCATTGAAAGACAAAGAAAGAAACCATAATATGATAAAATGTAGTTAAATTATTGAAGAAATTGAGATTTTCACTTATTTACAACTTTATTATAGCTAAAATATAATGTAATAAGAGGAAAATCTTAAGTAATTTGACTAAGATTATATGTAATTTAGACAAGAACGGGTCGAGAATGGGGCGGGTCAGGACAGGTCGGGTCGATGAGAGGTACCCATGCCCGCCCCGCCCCAAAACAGGTCAAACAGGTCGGGTAAATCGGGTCAGGTCGAAATTGCATCCCTACTTGTGGGCATGGTAAAGGAAACCGGATCGTACCGGCCGGTTCAACCGGTTCAACCGGGAATCAGACCAGTGACGAAACGGCACCCTACCAGCGCCTATTCTACCGCGCCGGCCGATATTAACGGCGTAACCGGCATTTTCCGGTATACCGTCCGGTTTACATCAGACCGGCGGTAGACGAAGTCGACGAAAAAAAACAATAAAAAAAAAACAATAATGGACTATTCTGCTAACCCTAATCGATTCTTCTTGGCCCTTCTCTCCAAAGTCCAAAATTTGTTCACTTCACCTGCCGTAGCGGCGCAGCCGCTCCTCCTTTCTCCAGATCGCCGCCTGCCTGCTAGTGACGTGAAGAAGAGCTCGACGCCGGCCGTCGATCGATTGCCACCCTCCAGTTCTTCTCCATTTATCCAGCAGTCCGATCGATTTCCGCCGATCGACGCCGCCGCATGTCCTTCGTCTTCTCCAGCAGTCCGGCCACCGGCGAGCTCGTGAATAAGTCAATACGAGTCAAGAGAACGCCGCCGCCGCGTGTGCTCGACCTCCCCTGCCTCTGGCGACCGGCGAGAAGGGCAGAGGACGAGCCTGCCGCCGTGCTGAGCATCCCTCTCCGCTGCGAAGAGCGCCCTGGGAGGCCGATTTGTTGTAATTTTCATGTCTGGTATTGAGATTTTTTTTCTACGTTTCAATGTCCAGTAATAATCGCCTCTTTTTGGATTACTGCAATGAACAGAGTATCGTTTTGGGGAATATCTTAAATTGAAGCCAACTAGCCTCCCTCTCCGCTGCGTCGAACCTCCCCCTCCGCCGCGCCAAGCCTGCCGCCGGTTGGAGTTTGGAAATCATGTAAGGAGATTTAAATCGAGAAGTTCACTTGTTCTCTTTCTTTCTTCCTTTTTGGTAGAATAGAATATAACTCGGCTTCTTCTTCAAAGGGACACCACCTAATCTGAGCTTTGCCTATTCCAATGTTCTGCCCTTTATAATATATATTACATATGTCTATTATGTCTATTTAGTTTATTTAGGTTTGTTATCCGGTATATTCCGGTTTTATTCCGGTATTACTCCGAAACGGTATCCCAAATCTGCCGGTACGGTTTTTTAGTCAAAAAATATTTTTTAATTACAAAAACGGTATTTTACCAATACACAACGATTGAACCACGGTCGTACCATAAAATACCTTACCGCTGACGGATCCGGTATGACCTCCGGTACGGTTTCCTTTACCATGCTTGTGGGTGAGATTTATTACATTTACAGGTTAGGACTTAGGAACGTAGGGAAGGGAAAAGCCCAAGAGGGGACCAAATACAAATCCACGTTTCACCGACGGCGTGCGGAGGCGGAGGGGCGTCGTCGGCCTCTGACCTGTCTATCAGGCGTCAGCAGTCAGTACCCGGGCAAATCAAAGGCCTAAACACGTATATAAAAATCAACCAGCAAAAACGTTTCGGTTCTTCTTTCTTTGATTCTCTTCCCTTCCCTTTCTCCAATCTCCGATCTTTCCCTCTCAATCTCTCTCCCCAATACTTCTTCATCCCTTCTCTGTACTATTGCGAGGTGAAAGTTGCTGACTTTTTTTTTTGGGTCCAAAATCTTCTTCTTCTTCATCTCTCCCTCTTTTCCGCTCCTTGCTCTGCCGTGGAAGATCAATGGCGAAGAGTAAGAGAGAGGAAAGAGAGGTGGGCAGCTTCTTCTTTGACGGAATGATTGATAACATGCCCGTCTTTGCTAAGGAGCTCATCGCCGGCGGGGTTGCCGGTGGCTTTGCCAAGACTGTCGTTGCGCCCCTTGAACGCGTCAAGATTCTCTTCCAGGTTACCCTTCGCTTTTTGTCTCTTCCTTTAACTATTCAATGGTCACCAATGCATGAGATAGAGAGAGGTCAAAAGGGGCTGCGAAATTGGGGAAGACAGTGAAATCTATCTTTCTGCACGAAATGGAATTTATGACCACTTTTGCCTGTTTTATGGGTTGCCTTTTCATTTGGATGGAAGAAAAGGCTGGGAATTTGGGTCATTGGGATGCTTGGCTTGTGAATGCTGTTAATGTGCACAATTGGGGTTATAAACTGTGTGTGTGTTATTGTGATATTCCAGACCAGAAGAGATGAATACAAGGCTATTGGACTGCTTGGTTCAATAAACAAGATTGCCACAAATGAGGGGATTAAGGGATTCTATAGGTGACTACTCTTGACCTTCACTCTCTCCCTGGACAAAACATTTATGTACTGCTGTTGCTATATGCTCCAATTAAAGCATCTGGGATCTTCTACCTGCAGTGGGAATGGAGCTAGTGTTGCTCGAATCGTACCTTACGCGGCCCTCCATTTCATGACATACGAGCAGTACCGTAGATGGATCATACTCAGCTTTCCTGATGTGGGTAGGGGTCCTGTCCTTGATCTTGTGGCAGGATCCTTTGCTGGAGGGACTGCTGTTCTTTTCACCTATCCGCTTGACTTGGTTCGGACCAAACTGGCTTACCAGGTGATTCACTAACCCTCTGTTCCGCGAGGGGCGATTTTGCAGATTCCCAATGAACAGCAGAGTTCATTCTGAATGAAGTGCCTATTTTGACAGTACAGGTTGTTGGTGCACCAACAATGAACATTCGTGGTGCTGTTGGTTCTGAACAAATGTATAGAGGCATAGTTGATTGTTTTTCCAAGACTTTGAAGGAGTCGGGGGCGAGAGGTCTTTACCGTGGGGTTGGTATGTGGTACATCATAGCTTGTAGCCTTGTACTATATAATCAGCTGAACATAGATATCTGACAATGGTTACCTTCATTTCTTTCGATTTTTGACTGACCAATGTGCATTAATGTCAATTTCAGCTCCATCTCTATACGGGATCTTCCCTTATGCCGGCTTGAAGTTTTACTTCTACGAGGAAATGAAACTGCATGTCCCTGAGAAGCATCAGAAAGACATTTCAGTCAAGTTGGTTTGTGGCTCAGTAGCTGGCTTATTAGGTCAGACCTTCACGTACCCTCTTGACGTAGTTAGGAGGCAAATGCAGGTAACCTGGCTTGCAGTGCTATCTATGTTTGTTTAGTCAGTGGCCTTTTTCTGGTGTTATCTCAATGGCGCCTGACTAACACAATCCTAATTAGGTGGAAAGGCTTTCACTTTCAGCATCTAGTAACGCTGAGTTGAAAGGAACAATGGAAACACTTGTCATGATCGCACAAAAGCAAGGGTGGAAGCAGCTATTTTCAGGATTAAGTCTAAACTACCTGAAGGTGGGAGCATTACACCATGCATTATCTTCTGTTCCTATGCCCTTCGTTTCCTCCTGATATGCTGAGTTGTTCTGACTCCTGAGAGTTTGTCTTTTTGCAGGTTGTTCCATCTGTGGCAATTGGTTTTACAGTTTACGATGTTATGAAATCGTGCCTGAGAGTACCCTCACGAGAAGCTTTAGAAGCTGTAGCCGAGAACAGGAATAGTCAGCACACTCTTCATTCTTAGGCAACACAACCATACGGTTGCTAACATTCTTCAACGACGCCAGTAATAAGCGATGCATTCAATTCTTTACGACTCTGTATGATTGTTACAGTGTAAAGTAATCCTACCTCACAGACTCAGAGCGGCTGCTAAATAAGCCTCGCAGTTGCAGTCCTGTATAATTTTCTAGCCCAGTGGTGGGGGAAAGCTGGAAAGGTCAGTACTTAGGACCTAAGTCTTCATCTTTTGTACATAGGAAAAGGTCAAAACATTGAAGACCCAGTTTTCATCTATGCTGTGTTCTGTTGTTGTTGATCTGGATAGCCTAATATATCATACAGCCTTCAGTACATGACATAAAACTGGACGAGTAAAACGAAGGTTTATGCAACTTGATGCTCAGATGAATTGCATGTCATCTTAGTTGCTGAGATGAATTTCAAACCATCGTAAGAACTCAGCCAGATCTTTGCAGGTTGCTGATGAAGGCGAAATTACCGTTGTTGAACTTTACCTTAGTTGCGTTACAAAAACAGAACAACGTGAGCCCATTTGCTGCGCATTCCTACCATTTTATGTAGCAACCTCGCTGCAAAAAGGGGTTCTTTATCTGTGAAGCAATCTATCGAGCACCTTCCATGCAATTCTTTGAACACTACCACTTCACTAATTTCATTCCGAACCGAAACCATGGGAGGTTTTGCCGCGGAAGTAAGTAGCCGTTTTCGATTATTTAGCTTCATAGGGAACATTTCTTATGTTGATGGGCGGCAGAGGAATCGAACTTGCCATTGACGACATGCTTGAAAAAGCCGGGAAAACGACAACTTTGGGATGTCAGCATGATAGCAGTTTACAATTCTTCTTCTTTCCAACTTCTCCCTTTTGGCTCCACTCCGTTTCCTTCATCCCTATCTGAAATACAATTTTATTATTCCTTCTCCGGCCATCTCCGTTTCTAAAGCTCGGCCATGGCAGCAATGATCGGCTCTGGCCAAACCATCAAGACCGGGCTCCAACCGACGCTCAGCCATCAACGTGGCCACTGTCGCTTTTACCAGACTCCGATCAGTACATTGACAACTGAAAATTGGCGTCGTCGTCGGTCGATCACTGTTGCAAGTTGCAGCCTTCATCACAATTCTGAAAATTCGCTGAAGTCTCACTGTGAAAAGCTGGTTCATGAGTTCGACCCAGAAGTTCCGATTGAGAAAGCCCTGACGCCACCCAGCTCGTGGTACACTGACGCTTCCTTCTATGATTTTGAGCTCGATCGTGTCTTCTACAGAGGGTGGCAAGCCGTTGGTCAGTTTCTGCCTTTACGTGCTCTTTATGTGTTTGATAAAATTCCTCTTTAGCATCCTGAATTTGGAAAGTTTGAGGCCCCATATAATAGGTCTGTTGACTTGCCCCAGGCTATACTGAGCAGATAAAAGAGCCTCGTGACTTCTTCACTGGGAGGTTGGGGACGGTAGAATTCGTGGTGTGTCGAGATGAGAAGGGAAAGGTTCAAGCTTTCCACAATGTCTGCCGTCATCATGCCTCCATTCTTGCTTCAGGAAGTGGGCAGAAAACTTGCTTCGTGTGCCCTTACCATGTGAGGTTTTGCATCAACGTTTCAGTTTCATGTGGACTCAAAGCAAAAGCATAATTCTTTTTCACTTCATCTAGCCAAAAATCTCCATTAAGCTTCTCCAAATTCTTTTTTTACTGCAGGGATGGACATATGGGTTAGATGGAGCACTTCGTAAAGCAACAAGGATAACGGGGATTCAAAATTTCAACGTAAATGTATAGCTCTATCACTCATGATTCAGCTTTCTCACTTTCGTTTCATATTCTTCCTATTCAGCATTGATGGGTAATCTAGTTGGTTCTCACTGCTATCTTTGGAAGAATAGGAGTTCGGGCTCATCGCAATAGATGTGGCAGTATGGGGCCCTTTTGTTCTTCTCAATCTAGAGAGGAAGATGTCACCTGATTATGATGTTGGTGACAATGATCTAGTTGAGAATGAATGGCTTGGCAGCACCTCAGAACTACTGAAGTGCGGTGGAGTTGACACTTCTCTAAGTTACCTCTTTAGGCGAGAGTATACGATCGATTGCAACTGGAAGGTATGGTCTTGTGCTAATTTCTCAAGGTTTCAATAAACGCAAAGCATGGTTTCAAATTTGAAGATCCCTTCCCTTTTAAGGATTGATAGCATTGCATGTATCTGTTATGTTCAGCCATTGAGTGACATTGATTTCTTATGGTGTTCTGCTAAGGTCCTTGCTTCTATTTCTTCCACCATATCCAGGTGTTTTGTGATAACTACTTAGATGGAGGTTACCATGTGCCATATGCACATAAAGGCCTTGCATCTGGTCTGGAGCTCGATTCGTATTCCACCACGGTATTCGTTACATTTCTTATTTTACAGAATGTTCGTGATTGCCAGTACTAGCTTATTGCCTATCTGTATCTTATGTGAATTATGTTGTTCCATTCTGTGCAATAGACCTATGAAAAGGTTAGCATCCAAAGTTGTGCAGGTGGGTCAACAGAAAGAGTGGGATCAAAAGCTTTGTATGCTTTTATATACCCAAATTTCATGATTAATAGGTATTTGCTTTCATCAATTAAGTTGGGGAAATTGTTCATCTTCAAGCCAATTTTGTTCCTTTTTGATCGAGCTTCCTGTGAATCGTGTGCACACAGGTATGGACCTTGGATGGACACTAATCTGGTAGTCCCATTAGGGCCGAGGAAATGCCAAGTGATATTTGACTACTTCATTGAACCTCATCTCAAGGTAACTAAAGGTTCCTTCCACGTTAGCTGACATGCTATTTTTGAACCTTCTGTTCTATCATTGGTGAAAGAGACACTTTACCTGAGAATGAGGTAACTAGCCTTCCGATGGTTGAAACAGGATGACAAATCTTTCATTGAGCAAAGCCTGATTGATAGCGAAAAAGTGCAGGTATGACTTTTTAACTTCTATTATCACAGCTGTTCGTTGGACGATACGCATTTGCTAACACAGTATTATCTGCAGATGGAAGACATCATCCTATGTGACGGTGTACAAAGAGGCCTGGAATCACCAGCGTACTGCAGCGGCAGATATGCTCCAACTGTAGAGAATGCCATGTATCATTTCCACCAATTGCTTCACAGTAATCTTTGCATGTGACGTGAAAGCCATGAATCGATTTCTTCAAGTGTTGATTTAACATGTTTGTTGTACATGATTAATTGTCTGCAAGTTGTATCTCCTGTTATGGATCTAAGGATGTTTAAGACTTTGGTTTCAGAGTTTTCTGTCTCTTGTTCCTTAAAGTGATTACAGGAAATTGAATTAGATATGGATTCTGAATTTCCAATGAATAAAAAGTACACTTTTACAGCAGCATAACAAGAGCTTTTGATCACCAATAATCCCCACAAGAACATTTCCCATCCCTGAAATGATGGAACCGCTTGTTGTCTCTAACAATGAGCTCCCTCCCAACTATCCTGGACATTATTTTGATAGCATTGTGACAGTCCCCGCAGATACGAAGATTCTTCATGATTCTCAATGTCTGCCTTGCTGGAGTGCTGATCAAACCGTAAGCAATCGCCAACCTCTCACTGTGATACATCAGTGCCCTCTCCTTTGCCTCCTCGTCAATATCATGAAGCACGTATCTCGTATCAGGCACATATCCAGCCTCCTTCATCTGCCCATTCAAGCCTTTCACTTTCCCCTGTCCATCCTCCTTGTAGGGATCAGAAGAACGATATTCAGCCAGCCTGTTTTTCTCCTCTACCATGTTTATGGCAGAGTGATTCTTTCTCGGTGGCAGTAGAGCAACTCCGCTGCCCTCCTTCACTCTTGATGGATCAATATCGAGCAACAACTCCTCGATGTTATCTTCGAGCTCTAAATCGCCATGAACTCTAGCATAGTTCTTGATGGTCTCCCAGATTTCCACCATGGATTGTCCGGTTGGCATTCTTTCGATAAACTCAACTGCCTCATTCAAATAACCAGCCCCACCGAAAATGTGGATGACTTCAAGATACTGCTTGATACCGGGAACCATACCGTACTCAGTCCTCATGGACTCAAGGTGCAACAAACCTTGGTTGACATCCATGGCACTTGCACATACTGCAAAGACAGCACTGAAGCTATCCTCGGTGAGCTGCAATCCGGAGGCCTTCATTTCCTCAACTAACGCAAGCCCCTCGGCGCCCTGGCCGTTAGCAGCATACGCATTGATCAGCAAATGCCAAGAACCCATGTCCTTTCTATCGCGCATTCTATCGAACACCACGCGTGCATCCCTGACACTGCCACACTCCCCATACAACTGGATCAGCTTATTGCCCAGGTCAGTGTCACCAGAGAACGGCGACCGCCTCAGTAAAGCGTGCACCTTTTTACACAAATCAAGCGACTTCAAGCTCTGACATGCGTCCAATAGAGCGACGAACACTTCGTAACCGGCGGGAAAACCTTGACCAACATACTCTATTGCTTCCTCAACTTCACCGTCCTTGCACAGGCTCACCAAATCAACATCTTTGGGGACAATTGGGGCGATTGGGCTTGGTGGGTCGATGGCCTTTTCTTCACTTTTGCGGAATTTAGGCTCGTCTGAAGATGGGTTCCGTGGCTTTTGCCGGCGATAGACCTTGGAAGAAGGAGAAGAAGGAGCGCTGCGCGGCTTGGGTGTGGCGTAGGAGCAGAGCCATCGGAACTTGTTACGGGTAGGAAATGGAAGTGTGGGTACAACGGCATAGAAAGGGAATGGAGAAGGTTTGCAATGGTGGTGGAAAGTTATCGCGGTTCCTGGATGCTGCAGAGGAGTGAAGGCAGCCATTGATACGACTCCGTCTCCGACCCACAGAGAAAGTATCTTCTCTTTTTTCTGCTGCTACTGGCCTCGAAGATTTACGGCAAAATTGGACACTGGCGTGAGTGCAAAGGGCGAAACGACGCCGTGCGCTGTCGTAAACTTGGCCCAAAGCGTTAGCTATCTAACTAATATGTTTCCCAAATTCACAATCACAATTCACAACAACAGTTTGAACAAAATAATAGAATGATGCTTCAATCAAGAAATCATTTACACAAGTCGATTTATGAAAGAATTTTAAAAAAAACTTCGCCTCTCCATCGAGTTCAGCAAATTCGAAGAAGAATGAAGAAGAAGAGAGCTAAGCCTTATTCAGTGGAGGATTGTGCAAGTATCAATCCTCGAGAAGACATGGTATGGGAGTTGTCACAAAGGACTAGTCAGAATGGTAAAACCACAGTTTTTTACTATTTGAACCGCCAAAATAAATTGTTATTCGCCGCATTCGAGTCACATAATCTATCCCCTACTCAACTAGTTGAAGCATAGGAAATGATAAAGACCTGTACAAAATTCAAATCTATGAAATCGCTTTATGTTGTTCGGGTTCTTAGTAATATAACAACTCCTTATCCGATGCAAGGAAATGGTATCAAGATACAGGTGTTTTTGGTCTTGACAATGATAATATCAGCTACCTGAAAGTTTGTTTGCAGCTTTGCTTCCTAAGCAAGGCAACACAAGATAGATACTCTGCCATGCAGCCCTTTTCTCAATAACCAGCAGCCATTGTTTGTGCCAGAATTACCACTGCTCGGTTCACCATTTGAAGAGATGGGCCAATCTATGATGAAATTGGCTCCTGGTATGCTCTCACATCTTCCCCCCTTCTCCCTTGTTTTTTTATGTCTTTCCCCTGATGATCACCAAAAGCTGTGCCTTTGAAATTCTTTGTTTCTTTTTCTTATTCTGCAAAAACCATGTTGTCTCAATTCTGTTTCTAGGAACTGTTCCATACTTCTGGGCTTATGGTTCCAACACCTGGAACAACATATAGATAACTAGCCACAGCCAGTGCCTTGCTTATGATGCAAGGGGATCGATCATCAATCAACGCAATTTAAGTTACAACATATCCAGGAATGAAAAAAATCTAACCTGGGTTTTCAAAACTTACTATTCTTCACCTGCACAATAACTAATTATCGCCTCTAGTCTACTTTCTGTACTCATCCTGTAACTAAACCCAAACCTACCTGGGATTGCAGGAAGTGAGCATAACAAGGACAGAGATATAGCTACTGCCATTGAAGAATGTTGCGACAAGTATTTCACAGAAAATACCCAGGAACTGAGCTCGGCTGACTTCTACGCTGCTGTCTGCAAAACTGTAGAGTAATCTCCATCATCCTGATTCCCCCTCCTTCATCCTCTATAGCCCTTTCCCCGCTTCTATCATGAGCTTCTGCTTTCATTTCCAACAGGGAAATCAACAAGAAGCTCAATAGCACACAGTTCCGAGTCTCCGACAAAGAGAAGCTCAAACAAGTCTACAATGTGAGTTATTCTCTATCGTTGTTTCTTCTTTCTCCTTCTTCTCCATTCCCATATATAACTCCTGCATCACAAAAACTTTGCAGTCTCACTACAAAGATGACAGCAAGAACAAAAAGGAAAAAAGGCATTGTCAATGGAGGAATTCCTAAAGGTGCTGGAGGAAATAATGATTGGGGCCGGGTTCACGGGGTTCGGATCTTTCGCTCTGTTCATCAAACAAAGAATAGCTCCAACAGCCGTCCCCAACGACGTTTTCATCCCGGGGATCACCCTTCCATTTCTATTGTACATTCATCATGGTTTACTTTATCGTTCGTAAATGGACTGTGAATGAAAATGAACACGGACTAACCTCAGAAGGAAGGGAACTCCGGCGGGGAAGTCCTAGATAATGTAATCCGACCAGCCCGAAATGAATGACGTATGATCCATGGATTCTCCTGGGCACTCCTCGTGCTTGGACGGGGTCTCCTTCCCTCCGACGAGCCTGGCAGGGTTCCCCACCGCCGTGGTCCGCGGAGGGACGTCGATCAGAACCACCGACCCTGCCCCAACTTTCGCTCCTTCTCCAATGTTGACATTCCCCAGGATCGTCGCCCCGGCGCCTATCAGCACGCCATCGCCGATCTTCGGGTGCCGGTCGCCGCAAGCTTTCCCCGTTCCACCGAGCGTGACGTGGTGCAGGATCGACACGTTGTTCCCAATCACCGCCGTCTCGCCCACGACCACCCCCGTGGCGTGGTCGAACAGAACCCCCTTCCCGATCCTCGCCGCCGGGTGAATGTCGACGGCGAAAACGTCGGAGACCCGGGACTGCAGCGCTAGAGCCAGCGGCCGCCGGGATTGCATCCACAACTTGTGAGCCAATCGATGCGCCTGACAAAGAAATCCCAACAATTTTACCCGAAAAAAGAACAAAATTGGAGTCCCCGATTTTTCTTTTTAGGGATTGGCAATCGAAGAATTACCTGACAAGCGAGGAAACCCTTGTAATTGAGGAGGCAGTGGGAGAAGGAGACGCAGGCGGGGTCGCGGACGCGGGCGGCGCGGAGGTCGGCGACGGCGGCGGCGCAGAGGGAAGGGTCGGAGGAGAAGGTGTTGAGGAAGAGGTCGTAGAGGAGAGTGGAGAGGAGGGTGGAAGAGCAGAGCTTGTTGCCCAAGTGGAAGGCGAGGGATCGCTCGAGGGAAGAGTGGGAGAGGATAGTGGAGTAGAGGTAGCTGGCGAGAGCTGGCTCGGCTTCGGCGTCTCGCCGGGCCTCGGCTTTGATCTGAGCCCATACCCAGGCCTCGTCGCCGGACGCTGCGGCGGTGGGGGAGGCAGGGCTAGTGGGATGCAACGGCACCGCCGTCGGGCAGAGCTCGCCGGCCGGCATTGCGGTGGTCGTGTTGGGGGATTGTTGTAGTCGGGGGTTGAAGATAAGGGTGAGATTTGTTGTGGCCAGGCGTTTTGGAGAAATCCCGAGGCAGCGTTGAACCGTTATTAATATGCGAATGCGAGCCCGATTGTATAGGGGAAGAAAATTAAGCATACTGGTTGGACCGCACCAACCGGTTGAACCAGATTGTATAGATTTGACAATCATGCTTGATGTCGCTTGGTCAACAATCAAGTTGGTTGGTCGATGCGTAACTTTTCTATTCACTAAATTTAATGAGTTATGGATTATCATTTTGTTCGTGAGCATGTCTGAGTGACATATGTGGCCTTATATATAACCCCTTAATTGACACTTATAAATTACCCCTTAATTTTGAGGTCTCACAACTCACATTGAAAACTTATCTTGACTCACAAGGCAAATCAATGGGCCTCTCAATGTAACTAGAAAAACCTACAACAACCCATCAAATCAACCGATGACAAATGACAAGAGTCATCTTACTATAAGAAAATACAACACAACCTCGTTGCACATCGCCAAACTCTTGGTGATCACTCAATTTACTCTCATCCCCTTGTGCTGCAAACATCTCTTCCTTCCAGCAACAGGAACTCTACTACAGGCTGAACCATCCAGCAACCGAACACCACAAGTGACCACCGCAGCCTGCAACTCAGACTTCAACAATGAACCCTCCTCGCCAGACAACCTGGGAACTTCACCAGCATCACAATCACCAACCCTCTTCTCCTGATGCTGCCAACAGTACCTTTCATTCCCTTGTCCCACCCGCCTGCTACACAACGAACCATTCACCAAAGTTGCTCCACATTTGGTAACAGATAAGCTATGTTCCCAGCCCTGAGACCGATTGCTCTCGGTTGCTTTACTTGATTTCACATTATGTGAACCATAGATTCTCATCCCTTTGTGTTGCTCGCATCTCTTTCTTCCAGCAACTGGTGAGCTTCTGCAGGGAATGCCATCAGCCATAATGAACCCACAGACATTACTAGCAGAAGAGCTCTCCTCTTCTGTTGCTCCACATTTGATGTCTGAAACCAATCTGGGCCGTGACTTGTTAAAGTTGAAGACCCTGTGGAGGAAGTTTTTGCTGTCGTTGCCTTCGCCTGTTTCGGATTTGTGTGGTGAAACTGGCTTGCTGCTTGCTTCAATCTTGATTCCCACAGCAGCACCTTGGCCTAAAGACAACATTAGCTTCTTGGAAATTTCTCTCAGCCTGGAACTAGCTGCTGTTGCAGAAGCAATGCGGTCAAGTTTCTGGAGGATGTCGCCCGGTCTACGAGCCCCATTTCCGCCACGATTCCAAGCGTAATCGAATGTTTCGAGCAGCTGTGACTCTGTCTTCTCAGCAGCCCTTTTGTCCTTCATCTGTTACATTGCTACCAACATTATCAGTCTCACGAATTGTCCAATGGATGACTGAAAAAAAAAAGCTGTTTACAGTACTACTACTTACAGCAGCCCATCTGAAGACAATGGAGTGGCCTCTGGAGAAGATCTCCTCAAACAAGCCGGCGCTTTTGTGAAGAGGGTCGGTCTTGAATTCGTCCCAGTGACCGGTTGAGTAACTGCTTCCCAAATGGGCGCCCGTTCGCCCGTACCGCTGGAGTCGGGTCCTGACATTTTCAGCTTGCCCGAGGTAAACCACCACTATCTCTTGCTTCCCGAGTTCTCGACCCGAATCGGATCGGCGGACGGAGATCCCCAGCTCGTAAACTCCGGCGGAAGAAGTGGAAGGGAGATTGTGAACTCTGTATCTCGCAGCTCCTTCCTTCCCGACTGAATAGTCTGCCCAATCAGATGGCCCGATGAGAACCTAAACCCGCAAGTCGACCCGAAACAAATTTAGTCCGAATTCATTTTTTTGGGGCAAATGAGTGAGAATCTGCCAGCGATGAAAAGAACCCAGATGGTGAAATTTTTCGCCGGGAACTGTATAGTACTTAGCTGGAAAGGAAGATCCGGTGTTCGCAGATTTGGTTCCTTGGTGGTTTCAGAGCAAGTACGAATTGGGGGAATTGGAAGTTGAATTTACAGAGGGTAGGAGGGAGAGAGAGAAGAGAAAGATGAGATTGAAACGAACCTGCCATTTGGAGAAGTCGGGATCGTGCTTTTTCCGATTACAATCCTCCCGCTTCAATCTATCGGCGGCGACGGCGACGGACTTGGCGCCTTTGCCATCGGCCATGGACTGGAAATGAGATAACAACCGGATTGTGTGCCCGCTGCTACTGTTTCAATGCAAGGCGGCGCGGGGGGAAACATGACCGTTGGGGCCCAAAAGATCTGATTCATGGAACTGGGCTGGAGGATGTTTCCTGGGCCAAGGGCCCATTGTCTTGCTTGGGCTAGTCATAGCAAGGGAATTCGGCCTACTTTATAGAATTTAAAAGCCCAGCGATTAGAGTTGCAATTAGTGTAGAAGTGTAAAAGATGCTATCAGAAGGAATTAGTCAATTAGCCATTTTATATTGCTGTTTAAACTTTAAATTGTATATATGTGTAAGTTTTCTCTTCTATTTTGATTTTTACTTGTGTTTTGCATCTGTAAATAGAGTTCACTTAAATTACACCCATTTTGTTATTATGTTGATAGGGCAATTGTGAAATGTACTCACAATGCTTTTGCGTACATATGATCAAAAGAGTGTTGTATACACGTTCTCATAAAACACTCTGTGAGCATCATAATTGAATCGGAACTCTATGATATATAAGAAATATGACCAATTGTTATCCTTGTATATTTCTATCTACTCTTGTTCTTGTATATATTCCTTTCCACCATTAATTGCAATTGCAAGGGTTGAAAGAACTATTTTACCTTTAAACTACATTAAAAAACAAGTTCCGAAGTCAAATAGGCAACAAATTCGTTAATGATTGCTTCGTAGAATACAATGAAAGATACTAATTTATGAGTATTAGACAATAAACCTAATTTCCCTCTACTTTCAGAATATGTAAACACCTCGTTGTTGTTTATGAAAACGTCACTAGTATTAGTTGACTATTCCTTTTTCCATGAATTAGTTAGTTACTCGAATATTAAAAAAAAATCATCATATATATTTTAAATAGTTAGCTGTCTATTTATATTCGGTCAAGGATACCCCTTATCCGAATTTATGACTTCGCCACTCATCTAGTATGTTGGGATAATCATAATACTATTTGGCCAACGTTGTTCACAAATCTTCTTGTTATTTCTGATCAACAGCTTATTATTGTCGTGGGATTATCAACAGTTGTAGAATTTATATTTAGCCTCAAATTAATTCACCGGCATTCTTCTTTCTCATACATTAATCTCACTAATTAGGATAGCGAGGAGTGAGCAAGTGATTTTCTTCTTTGTTGGTGGGATGGGATCGATGCTAAATTCCTACTGTGCTACCTTGTGTTCAGTGGTGGCTAAGTCAAAAGACTGGAGCGTACCTACATCAATCGAAGACATCAGAGATTGCAGTTCACGACAGCTCACAGCCAGGCAGCATAATATATTAACGATAGGTTTAGGTAAAGGACTGATTAGGGCTTAACTAGGACTAAAATGTCTGTCTAGTTGGGCGGACCGTCCAATTTACACTGTCCTGCTCGAGACGGCTTGTTCTTGATCGTAACATTAATTTCCATGGAGTTACATTCGAAGGAAAAAAAATTCGAAGTCGTCCTTCACCAGAGGCACATAGTGGGATTGCAATTGGAGAACTGATACTCAATAAAATTGCTTGCCGATGATACCTACTCTGGACATAGGTTTAGATTTTTGGGGCGATTACTTAGACTGCGAATTAGGTTGCTCATAATGTGACAAGAAAAGTTCTTTTCTCTAGTTAGTTTAGAGTTGCTCTCATTTGTTTTTGTTAGCGGAATGGAGAGAATTTTTCGAGTTATCCATTATTTCTTGTATAATATATTCATTGGTTAGACTAGTATAATATTAAAATATATTATACTCTGAGTACGTCTAATGAGATACACCTTTCTAAATCATAAATTAAACAGAGGTTAACCTCTAATGAATTTGATGTGATCCTCCAGAGCGATCCAAAACCCCTCATTGGAGTCACCAGCATTGGAGTCCAAGAAGAAGGGTCCAACTCAGCAGAAGGAAGAAAGGAATTACTTGAGGACTAAGTCATTGCTTTTGGCCAGATTCTTGGAAGATTCTTACTTCATTTCCTTTCCCTTTTAGGCGGATCCTTGCTTTATTTCCTTTCCCTTTTGGGTAGATTATTAATTTATTTTCTTTCCCTTTTGGTATTCCTTTCCCTTTATTTCCTTTCTCTTTTGGTTAGATACATTGTTTTGTAACCTCTATAAATAGAGGAGGAATTGCTTATGAGTGGGGCAGACTTTGATGACTATTGATATTTACTTGTTCTTTGAGCTTTAGGCTTGAGAATTTTCTGCTTTGTATCAATCAAGTTTTCCCCTTGATTGTGGTCAAGCTTCTACCCTATATTGATAGAGCCTTCTCCCAATTTCGTGTTGAGATTGCACTTTCAATTCCATACTATCCCCAAACAAACAAAAACCCCTAAAAATCTCTTTTCCGGTTTGTTCTTGGAGCTGCGTTACTTTGATAACTACGGGTACCGGGTCCGTGCTCGTATCAAGTGGTATCAGAGCCCGGTTCAACGCAGTGGCAGGATCGAAAGCGAGAGGACCTGTTGCTTGTCGAACGAGGTCCAAATATCCGATTGCAGAACGCAGAGAAGAGGAAGAATCACTCTCTAAAGAAGAAACCCTAATAGAAGAACCAGTCATGGGAGAGCAGAGTCAGAATCTTGCAGAAGCTATGAAGTTGCTTGCCGCGCAGATGGCACAGATGGGAGCGTTGCTTCAGGCCCAACAGGACGCTACCAAAGGTCAGCTGGTTGAGACGAATCAGCGACTGGACACCCTAATCACTAGGTTGGAGATGCAACCAATGGGTACTTCACTACCACCAGAGAATCCAGCAGTTGTCGTAGCTCAGACTGGAGCTTCGAACCAAGAGGGTCCAAGAGCAAATCGAGTGTATCAAGCTTTTCCTGAGACCCCAGATTGGCAGGTGCAGAGGCGCCAATACACGGAGCAACGTCGTCAGGTAATTCCACAGAACAGACCTCCATTTTATGACTATGATAATGATGATTATGAGTATGGAAGAAGACCACCGGAAGTAGGAGGTTATGGCGTTGAACCGATTCGAGGGATTAAGCTCTCAATCCCATCGTTTCAAGGCACTAATAGTGCATCAGCTTACCTCGACTGGGAGAGGAAGATGATTATGTTTTTCCAGTGCAATCCTTACCCAGAACATCAGAAAGTTATTATAGCCACATATGAGTTTACAGATTATGCGGCTGCTTGGTGGGAAAAGATTCAACAACGACGAAGAAGGAATCTGCAACCTGAAGTTTCTACTTGGGCAGAACTCTGAGGTTTGATGCGTGATCGGTTTGTTCCTCCTTTCTATCAGAGAGATCTCCATGATTCCTTGCAGGGAATTCGACAAGGAACGCGCTCTGTTGACGAGTACTTCAAGGAGCTGGAACTGCTCATGATGAGAGCAGATGTGAGGGAGGACAAGGAAGCAATGATTGCTCGTTTTCTACATGGGCTTAACAGAGAAATCAAGAATGAAGTGGAGCTTCGTCAGTTTGTGGAATTGGAGGAGGCGGTGCATTTAGCCATGAAGGTAGAGAGGCAGTTGAAGATGAACTCGGGAAGAAGGTACCCACCTTCACCCAAACCTATTGCAGAGAACATTCCTGAGGCTAACAGAAATCACCCTAATCAAGAAGGAGACAAGCCAGCTGCCAGGAACACATCCCCAGTCATTCAAGCCAAGAATGAAGGGTCAACGGGAAGCATCCAATGCTTCAAGTGTTTTGGTCGAGGTCACAAGGCTAATCAATGCCCCAACAAGAAGGCTCTTGTCTTGAGAGATGGAGAGTACTTTTCTGAAGAGGAGTGTGAAGAGAAGCCGATGGGGGAGGGACTCGACCGCTATTATGATGATGACGATGTGGATGAGCACATCGAGGCTGAAAGTCCTCCAGCAGGTAAACTTCTGGGAGTGAATCGCAGAGCCTTATCTATTGAAGCTTACACGGAGAAGGAGCAGAGGGATAATCTCTTCCACTCTCGTTGCTTAGTCGATGGGAAAGTGTTGTCCGTGGTCATCGATGGTGGTAGCTGCACCAATGTGATTAGTCTGGACGCAGTCAAGAAGCTGGGATTGAGCACCATCAAGCATCCTCAACCTTACACCCTACATTGGTTGAACGACTATGGGAATATCAAAGTCAATAAGAAGGCTAAGGTTTGCTTTCATATCGGTGATTATACAGATGAAATTTGGTGTGATGTTGCTCCAATGCAGGCTGCTCATCTCTTATTGGGTCGTCCATGGCAATTTGACCGGGAGGTTATTCATGATGGAAGACACAATAGCTACCGTTTCAAGAAAGGAGATCGGAAGTTTCTGTTGAATCCATTGTCACCAGCTGAGGTCCGAGAAGATCAACAACAATTGGCAATTAGTTGGGCCATGGAGAAAGGGAGTGCAAGTGGCTTGAAGTCTGAGGACAGAAGTGGAAATCATCTCATTGCTCGAAGGAGCATGTTGACTGCACTAAGGAGAATTTCATTTAGAAATTCAGTTGATTTTGTCTCTTGCAGTAAAGCACAAGCTTTGAGGGCAAAGCTTCTTCAACGAGGAGGGACTGATGTGATCCTCCAGAGCGATCCAAAACCCCTCATTGGAGTCACCAGCATTGGAGTCCAAGAAGAAGGGTCCAACTCAGCAGAAGGAAGAAAGGAATTACTTGAGGACTAAGTCATTGCTTTTGGCCAGATTCTTGGAAGATTCTTACTTCATTTCCTTTCCCTTTTAGGCGGATCCTTGCTTTATTTCCTTTCCCTTTTGGGTAGATTATTAATTTATTTTCTTTCCCTTTTGGTATTCCTTTCCCTTTATTTCCTTTCTCTTTTGGTTAGATACATTGTTTTGTAACCTCTATAAATAGAGGAGGAATTGCTTATGAGTGGGGCAGACTTTGATGACTATTGATATTTACTTGTTCTTTGAGCTTTAGGCTTGAGAATTTTCTGCTTTGTATCAATCAAGTTTTCCCCTTGATTGTGGTCAAGCTTCTACCCTATATTGATAGAGCCTTCTCCCAATTTCGTGTTGAGATTGCACTTTCAATTCCATACTATCCCCAAACAA